CGAAGCATAATGCCACAATATTGACGTCTGGGCTCGTCACTGCAGCACAGTCGATGCAGGAAAACCCCCAGCCACCCAGGCCGCACGGTGGAGACCCGAAGAACAATGGCGTTGAGACCACTCGTAACACGGCAATGATCATCCTCTATGCCGTCACCGGCATTATCACTATCTTGTTCCTGGCCGTCATCCTAACCGGTGCGATTCGGGCACACAGGCATCCGGACCGGTACGGACCGCGTAACATTCCGGGTCGCGCGAGGCAGAGTCGTGCAAAGGGCATTGCCAGAGCGGTGCTAGATACCCTGCCCATCGTCAAGTTTGGAGAGGACAGAGAGCGTCCGAAACAGCATGATGTCGAACTGGCGGATGGGCAGATTCGTGAACTTGACCACGAACATGCTCCTGCTCAAGCTCATACTCCCGCAGTAGAGAGCTCTGATCCCAGTGCTGATGCCGATGTCCCTGTCACGGCCACGACCGATGCATCGGAACAGCACCAGCCCCGTGCTGCCTCTCCGTCTGCATCTGCTGCTGGTTCTGCTGCTGGTTCTGCTGCCTCTGAACGAGAGCCGTCCACCACCTGTCCCATCTGCACGGATGAGTTCGTTCGCGGCCAGGACGTTCGTCTCCTACCATGTAACCACTCCTTTCACCCAGAGTGCGTTGATCCATGGCTGGTAGATGTCTCCGGCACTTGTCCACTATGGTACGTCTTTGAATCATCCGTCTCCTATGCTTCCATGCTAACCAAAGCAGTCGAATCAATCTCAACCCGGAAAATGAGCAAGAGCGGGAACACACTGAAACCATCACCGGTATCGAAGGAGATCCTGACATTGATGGCAGAGAGCGCGGTGCTCCCCACACGATGGCTGGCAGCACATCTCCCGAAGCTGAGGGCGAAGGCGCTGCGGCTGACGGTACAAACGAAGGCACCTCACATCTTCAGCACGCTCGTATCCTCCGATCACGACAGGCAAACGCCGATGAGAGACGACGCAATCGTCTTTCGGCGCGGTTCGTTGAACGGTTCCGCATTCGCACTCGACCACATGGCGAGGCTGACGGGAGCAACAGTACTTGATCTACTTTTTGGGCTTGTTTCATCTCATATATTTCCTTTCGTTTACAGGCGTCCGGGCGTTCAGTGCGGGAGATATTAAAAGATTTTCATTTCCGGGAATGGCATGGACTGGTTATATATTTTACATTTGGGGGAATTTAGCTGGATATATTGGACCCATGTATATACCGATATAACCATTGCTGTACATATCTGCTCCAGCTTTTTACATATACAAGGACTAGAGCATACAATATACCCACTTACTATAATATCCTGGCTGCTGTAGAAGTATCACGGGGGTGCCTGTAATATGCTTGAGTTTTATCCTAATATACATGTATAACCTACCTATAGCCAGATGGTGTTATGGCACTCATGTCCTCTTCCACGGATACATCACCTCGTCGTCCTTGCGTATCCAGATCTTCGACTTCTTCTTACTCACCATATGCTCGACAAACACGTCTTTTGCATACGAGGCCTTGAACTTGCGAATCCACCGTGGATCCCACAGCTCGCTCGCAACTCCCAGGTCCTTACAACATCTCATCATGGCGTTGGACTTGCACCCTTCGGTGGCAGTCGGTATCCCGTCCGGACTAAAGTAATCTTGTTCACCGCGGGATATAGACACAAGCCTATCCCCGTTAGCAAAGGGTCATATATGGATATGAATTGATATAAATAACGTACCGGCCATGCGCGACAAGAGCATATTCCCTCGTTACCGTCTTGCCCGTCACGATACTCTCGCTGCGCGGCACGAGACCCCATCCCCCTGGCCCAAACGCCTTGTTGAGTATACGCCGATACTTGATTTCAGGCAGGTACACGATACCGTCGGGCTTGATCTCGACATCGTCTGGTTCGACTGGTGCTAGCAGAATGGCAGCAGCTTCCTTTGAGAAGGGCTCGGCGCTTAGGCCGTGATATGAGCGTGTCCAGTCGACGTGGCCGTTTGGAACGTTTGCAGGCTCCAGCACGAGGTCGGGAGGGGCGTCAGCGAGGCCGGTCTTGGTTATGTTTTGTATCGGGTGTGAGGTTGACTGTGTTGTGAATGACGGTGGTGACGGCTCTGGCTCATTGGGCGTGGATGGAGCTGTTGGCGCGGGTTTTGGGGGAGAAGCGGACGCTGATGTCGTTTGTGACGAAGATGCAGACTTGTTGTAGCTGTTATATGTTCTCCTAGGGGTATTGCTAGAGGCCTTTCGTGAGTATGATGGTGTTGTTGCTGCTGGTGCTGGTGCTGGCTTGGAGGTAGACGATATCGATCTGTAGCTAGGAGAGCCCATAATGAGCTTCGAGTATGTCGATGGACGAGCCGTGCCGGTCCAATTGACCCGCCTCATCACTAGAGAGGCCATCCTGTCTCTGCCTGTTAGGAGTCTCTAGGAGTTTCTCTCTTGTTTACTGTTGGTTGTTGAAGTCGAAAGAGAAAAAAGGCTGGAAAAGATCCCGTGATCGATAAAACTTGAGATTTATTGAACGCTTGCAAAAGTCGCTGTTTAATGATGAAGATATATAAGTAGAAAATACAAGAGATGGAAGAGGAATAAAAGTACAGTAGAAGCAGTAGATAGAAGAGAGAGAGAGAGACTGTCTAGTTATCTCGAGTCTCTGTTCTCTCGTTGTTTCCGTGGCGTTTCCAACACTCCCTAAAGGCCTCCATCTGTAGACGTTAGCATCATATCAACATTATGTAGAGATATATAATCGATATACAGGTACAAGTATATAGATATAAGTGTATAATCCAGCTTCTACGGGTTGAGAAGCATCTCGGCGACCTTCCGGTAGAGAAGAAGGAATATATAAGAACATCCAGGAAGAAAACACACCTCTTTGCTGCATGCTCTCCAGTCTCTCTTCTCGTAGTAACAGTCGTTCATCTTCAGTTGCTCGGCTGGTCTCCGTCAGATGCTACCCTGTTGGTATATAGGATCGATCTCTCTCCTTACCTGCGCAGCCGGTGCTGAATATTCTCTTGTCCCTGGTCTCCTGTCAGCGTGGAAGCAGTGAAGACGAAGAAAAGAAAACATACCAGTCATCAGGCTCGTCATCGTCGACTTGGACCGGCTTCTTCTCTTCCTTGGACATCCCGGCCTTATCTCAAGCCGGTTGAAGGTTGCAAAAGAATATCGTATGGTTGTTGTAAGAATGGCGACCAAATCCAACTCCAAGAGACTCAACGTCCTGGTGTATTCCGGTGCGCAAACCTACCCTGACTGGAGAGAGAATGTTCTGACGGCGCCTCCAGGAAATGGAACTACAGTGGACTCTGTCCGCCAGTGTCTGTACACCTTGCGTCGTATCCTGTCGCCCAACTATGCCGTCATACCGGTCACTGGCGAGATGGTCATCAAGGAGCCGTGGACTGCGACCTGCGCCCTGTTCGTCATGCCTGGAGGAGCAGACATGCCCTACTGCAGGACTCTGAACGGCGAAGGGAACAGAAGGATCAAGCAGTTTGTCCAGCGCGGGGGAAGTTATCTTGGTCTCTGCGCGGGTGGCTACTATGGCAGCTCCCGGTGCGAGTTCGAGGTAGGCAACAAGAAGCTCGAAGTCGTAGGGGACAGAGAGCTGGCATTCTTCCCCGGTATAGCTCGAGGATGTGCCTTTGCCGGGTTCGTCTATCACTCTGAAGAGGGTGCCAGAGCTGCAGAGCTGAACGTATCCAAGTCTGCGCTGCCTGTTGGATCTGTCCCGGATACCTTTAAGTGTTACTACAACGGCGGAGGAACCTTTGTTGATGCACCTAAATATGCTGATCAGGGTGTAGAGATACTCGCAAGCTACACTGAGAAACTACATGTCGATTCTGGAGAGGGTCAGGCTGCCGTTGTCTATTGTCCTGTGGGAGACGGTGCAGCTATACTGACGGGGCCACACCCAGAGTTCGTATATCACACACATGGATCTCTACTATATATACACTGCTAACAAGTACAGGTTCTCTGCTGCCAACTTAGACCGTGATACAGAGGCTCCTAACTACTCTTCCGTCGTCGACTCGCTGGCAAGAGACGACAAGTTCAGGACTGACTTCCTCAAGGCATGTCTAGCTAAACTGGGTCTCCAGATCAATCAAGACACTGCAACGGTACCGTCCCTCTCCCAGATTCATCTGTCTGCCCTCGAGCCCGGTGCTGCACTTGATGTTCTGTCTTCCCTTAAAGACGTCATCACCACAGAGGACGGCGAGGAGTATCTCAAGGACGATAATGACACCTTCATCCTCGAGACGCCGTCCTCTATGAAAATGACTAAAGTTGCAGAAGCGCTGCCGGACACCCCTCAAAACGAAGCTGCTGCCACTGACGGGGATAGTGACAGAATTGTCGATTATAATGCCATTGTCAAACGGCTGGTCATCGACAGCGAGCTTCCTGGAACCAAGACAACGCCGTACTTCAACCATCATGCTTTTTACTCTAACTTGAAGGAATACAGAGGTCAGTCAAAGGAGGAAGTACAGGCCTTTGGTTCGCACATGCTGTATGGCGAGGTGGTTACCAGTACCAACACCATTCTGGAGAAGTGAGTATCCTTTGGTCTAGAGCTTTGGAACGAAATAGTGCTAATTACATGTTAAAAAAGAAATTCACGTCTACTGAGAAGGCTTCCCAACGGAACGACGGCAACGGCCACCGTCCAGGTCGCTGGTCGGGGTCGTGGTTCAAACGTCTGGGTCTCACCACCCGGTCAGCTCATGTTCTCTATCTGCGTGCACCACCCTGTAGACAAGCTCATGTCCTCCCCGGTGGTTTTCATTCAATATCTAGTCGCCATGGCTATCGTTCAGGGCGTAAAGACATATGATAAAGGATACGACACGTTGCCAGTAAAGCTCAAGTGGCCAAACGATATATGTAGGTCTTTGCCTTGTCGCTCATCAAATTGTACTTAGTATACTAACACACCCATAGACGCCCTCGATCCTACCGACCCAACATGCAAAACCTACACGAAAATAGGTGGCATCCTAGTCAACGCCCACTACTCTTCAAACGAATATATCGCTGTCGTCGGCGCGGGTTTAAATGCCCTCAACCCATCCCCAACCACATCACTCAACGCTCTTCTTCAGACCTTCAAAGGAACATCTAACCCCGAGCCCCCATCCCTGGAGAAACTCCTGGCTCGGATCCTGACTACCTTTGAAGGACTATATGCCAGATTTCTCCGCACGGGATTCGACAAGGATTTTGAAGACATGTATTATTCTAACTGGTTGCACATGGATCAGATCGTCACACTGGAGGCAGAGGGCGGGGTGCGTGCAAGGATCAAAGGTATCACGAGGGATTATGGGCTTTTGATCGCTGAGGAGTTAGGTTGGGAGGATCGGCCGACTGGAAAGGTGTGGCAGTTGCAGAGCGATAGTAACAGTTTTGATTTCTTCAAGGGGCTTTTGAAACGGAAGATGTGAGAGTGGTCGGTTGATGTTATGACTTATTATGCATATTGCATTTATTATATAGCCATTATGGCGTAGAGTATAGATATCAATGGTTCGCATGATAAACGTACTAATCGCAAAGGTATATAACGCCAACAGAACGCTCAACAACGCCCAGGAACCCATGCAGAGAGGAGATTTAAACCAACAGAAGCTTCATATACATCATATAAAAAGGAGTAAAGATTAGAGTGCCATCATTAAGAACAGGACGCTTAGCAGCCTACAGATGGGCCTTGGATTGGAAAGTTGACGAAAGGGCCCTATATCTCAATTAGCATCATTCTATAATAAAGTATTTAAACACGAGACGGACTTTTAGGCCCGTTATCTCTACCTTTCAACAGCGAATTCGAACTCTCTATCCCCCTCACCGATAGGAATCTCCTTCGCATCGTCCCCGTAAAGCGTGCGTTCAAAAAATTTCACCCGGCCAGACTCATCGACCAAAATTACGGTCTGTTTCTGTGTCCCGTACAAGCCTTTCATGTATAACGTATGAGCCTCAGCCCCATGCGAAACAACTTCTTCCACTCCCTCGTCCGGATCCCCGATAGCAGGAATGAAGATACTCTCACTTAATGACGGGAGATAATCCTGTAGGCTTGCACGCTCGTGCAATCTCGGAAGGTTATCCACGCTCAACACTCCTAGTAGACGGTGTATCAGCGCATCCTCGCTTTCACCACTAGCATAGCTTTTCTGAATTGCTTCTTTCATAAGCCTTTCGCCCTGTAGGATCTTTGGCCATGATCGATCCCCAAACGCCGTGTTGCTGAGGCCGACTGTTTGGTTCCTTGCAGTTGCGATCCAAGGAATTTCATCACCGGCTGAAGCTCGGTTAGATACGATCCCCAACGGGCCAAACACGTCACCGCATGCAAGACTGAAGCCGCCGGCGGCCTGTCCCTCGCCTCCGGCAACCAGCTCCTCAATGTACTCCTGGGCAGTCATATCGCTGTCTGGTGGTAGACTGAGAAACGCGTTGATGATCGAGCCTCTGCTGCGGAGACCAACGATGGCCCCCGGGGTGTTTTCTCTATAGTTTGTGAGAACAGCCAGTCTGCCGTTTTTGGTCACTCCCATCCAGGTCCCTTGAACTTCTCTGGCAAGATCACGAGAGCCCAGGACATGGGAGTTTGGCTCTGCCCACCATTCTGCGGCTGCAGTTGGGCGACGAAGATATTCCTAGGCAGATGTTAGTTACGTAGTACATATCTTGGTGTTGACTTGTTGGGTATTATTGGGATATATGTACATCTCTGTTATTGATGAGGATAAGCCGATAGCTCGGGTGAGTTGTTGATATCAGGGCTATACACATTATTTTATTAAAGGATACGTTTCACCTGGTAAGAATGAATATTTATATTCACTTTACGGGTGAACGAGGCCGTTCACTCTATGTGCTGATAAAAGGTCGTCAGATGCTGTTTCATGTTCTTCTTCCAGGAAGTTTTCAGCGTTTAAATAGTTTAAACATGGACCCACTTTAACTCTACTAAGGTTATTACGTCGTCAAGACTCGATATCATCATCATCTTCTTCTTCTTCTACAGGCTGGACTCTGATATCTCTTCAACTCAGACAACTTCGATAAGCCAAGCGGAAGAGAGGACTAGGGAAGGGCTATTCTACTAAGATATGCAGAAAGGCACCAAGATATCCAAGAATACATCAAACAACTAGGTGGTGTCGAAGATCGAATGCTTTAATACTCGAGCTGCTCGAGGTGCACCCGTTTTGACGTCAGATGAGATCTATAAGACGAGCTGTGATAACTATAAGTTAACTAATATTGTCATTCTGCTAACATTGCCCAAAAAGCAGTAACTGCAAGATGCTGGCCAAGGTCAGAAGAAACGGCACCACGTATCAAAAAAAGCCACCAGTCGAAGCGGTGAGTGAAGGACCAACAACTCACTAAACATCATCGACGGTATCGCATAGGGATTACTCTGGGATAAAAAGCCTCGAAAAATTGGACGTGACGATATTCTGAGAAATATATGCGATGGCCTACGAGAAACTCAAGGCGCTGGCAAAACTACATACCGGCAATATGATGACTATTATCGCACATTAGCTATTATCAAGGGCCAAGGAAGAGACGAGACGCATTCTGGACAGTTAAAAAATCGAGAACGGCAGGGATGCATAGCAAGTGCTAGCAAAAGATTGTAGATCTACTAAATGAATCCATTCCTATGTTATATAATTATCGAAGACCAAAATACAGCAGTGCATGAGGTGTATGCTCATTGATTGTAAATATGTAAGTATGCCTGTAGTAAGACTGTGGAGGCTCCAAAGGCCTGGCCTGGTTGCCTGTCGAGTTATAGGTCCCGAGTTATGCACCAGTGGCATGATTTCGAGAAGGCTAGACCCATAAAATTCGCTTACTGATATATGATTTTATAGCCTGACAGGGTAGCTGTATCTACTCTTAGGGGTGTTAGTAGGATTCTATCATAGCATCCGGCGCTAAGGAGAGCTAATAGGACGTTGGATAACAAGACCAACATATAAAACAAACGTATTAAGTACATGTATATGCTGTATATCTCCAAAAGGATAGTAATTAGTACAACACTCTCTAGCCCCTTTTTCTTTCCGTCAAAAAATTATGAATTATTAACTGGTTATTCCAACTCTCACTCGATGGAAGCAGCCACCAACGCCAACCAGTCTAGGGCTCGGAATGACTAGACCCTGCAGGTGTGCCCTCTTCATCAGAAGTATCCTTCTCAGCAAAGCCAAGACTCTGCTCCTGTCCAAGAACGGGATCACGCAGCACGAGCGAGAAAGCAATGAGCAGAACAGAGAGGCAGATACCCGTAATACAAAGCAGGCGCTGAACATGCTTGTATGCGTCGACGGCATGGTCCCTGTCTGGAGTACCGATAGGGTTGGCGGTAGCAAAAGGGAAAGGGTCTTTGTAGATTTCAGCGGCGAGAGTCTGGTTGGATATACGGTCCATTAGGGCTTGAGGGAGAACCTGGTTCCAGATGGACCCTGAGATGGTGTTTCCAAGGGCTGAACCGATGTTATAGGACGCCAAGAAGAGACCGGTGATGGCGGCGACGTCTGGGGAGATGTTAGAGAGGATGTAGCGGTATGTATATTGAAGGGTAACTTACGTTCGTGCTTGGTTGCGGCCTGGATGGATGTCTGCGCAGGGTATGGGAACATGCCGCCGGCTATCCAAGTGTTAGTCCATATTGCCATATGTAAATAAAAAGGGGAGGAGAATGACTACCGATTCCAAGAAGGACTTGGGCACCGATTATGCCAGCATGGCTTGAAGAGGATGATCCTCCACGGTAGTAAATCAGAATACCAAAAGCGACCATGAACAGAATCGTTCCAGCAACGATAACAAGCTTCAGTCGTCGGAAAAAGTAAACGAATACACCCATTACAACCCCTGTCAAGACGGAAGTAAAGCTGTACAAGGCTGTGATTCGCGTAGCGCTCTTGATCGATTCGTTAAACGCAACGACCAGGACGGTGTAGAGGAAATCTCCCTGAAGATACCATGCGGTGTTGAGCATGATGGCGATTCCAAGAGCGCCCCATACTCCGCGATCTTTGAGCAGCTATGGCCAAGTTAGTTAAGATCAAACGTATTTCATGTAGTGTAAGAGTGTTAGGAACATACCCTGAAAGGAACCATGGGGTGTAAACATGTGGATTCCCAGTAGAGCCAGACTGGGATGAGAAGGACGCCAATAACGAGTGGTGCGATGACCTTTGCTGTCCTCCACTGGGTTTCTACGCCTCCTGCGATGGTGAAGGGGACGAGGATGAGAGCAAAGACGCCGAGGAGTAGGATGATGCCGATAACGTCTAGTTGCCAGAACATGGCTGTGACGATCTTCTTGCCACCGTATATTTGGAAAGGTGTCCTGTAGTTTTCCAGAGCACCGGCTCGCTTTGCGCGCCTTTGGACAATGTATAGTAACGTTATGCACGGGATGGCGCATACTGTAAGGGAATGTTAGACGAGGTCTACGAAGTGTTGACGTTCAGGGAGCGTTACCTGGGTAGATGATGGCGAACATTCCGATGCCCCATTGCCATGTAGAGTTGGTGATGACAGCACTGGTGATGTCACCGCTGACCCAGGTGTTGATCTGGAGGGGTAGTCAGTAGATGGTCTTGCTGGCCATGGTATATAGTATATAGTTGAGGCTTACGATGAATGGGGTGGCCGGGATGTAAGAGCAGAACAGACGAGCGCGAAGGGAGGTGACGTCCGCGATGAGAACCTCGACCAGAAGTAAGATAGACGTGTAGCCGATCTATTGACCATATGTTAGATTCATCTTTATAAGTGTAATGCCGGATAGAAGATATAGTTATTATAGAAAGTAACTGACGAACCTGGTAGAGCACGGCCCCGGCGGCAAAGGCCTTGACGCCATCGGAAGTGGCTTCAACGATGGTCCCTGGACAAAGCACTTAGATCGTTTGTCTTGTAGCGATGCGCCTCTTTCGAAAACATACCAACGACATAGAATACGATGGTAAAGAGAATCACCTCGGCCCTACCAAAGACATCGGCCATCTTGGCGGCGGTAGGCTATGTGCTGTTAGCATGTATATACGCCACAACGGGGAGTGGGAGCCTACCTGAGCAGCAGCGGCGATGACGGCACGCAGAACATTGACGGTGGCCAAAAGACTGTGAGAACTATAGGAGGCCGTGGCATATGTCTGGGCATGTAAGTCAGTAACGAAGATTGATATATACGGGGATGCCAGTATATACCTGATAAGTGAACCGAAGTCCTCCATCGAGCCCATAGGCATAGGCGAGGACGAAGATGCCAATGAAGAGAAGGATACGATCGACAAACGTCATATGCGAGGATATCACCTCGACCCTCATGACTCCGGGACTCTTCTTGCCCAGTATAACAGGCTCTCCGGACCCATTAACCTGCTGTTGCTGCTGCTGCTGGTCTCCGCCATCGGCAGGCGCCACAGCCTTTTCCGACTCGACAGCCATCATCAATCAAGCCTCAATTGGAACGGAACCACGGCTACAGCAGGCAGAAAGCCAGACAAGTCACAGCAATGTAGACGAAAGGAGAAGAGACAGAAAGCTGAGAAGCAAGGGGAGACCAGAGCCTTTTTAAAACCGCCCCGATTTCCATGGCCTCTGGGCCGTTACCCACATTCCACTCTTGCCCGGCCTCCTTCACAACCCCAGCAACAACGAATTCCATCTAATCTTAGGCCTCGTTTCCGATGGAAACCTGAGCTCCAAGGACCAAGGGAGCCAATGACAAGCACGAGCTGCCTTTAGTCTTTTCCAAGAGTGAGAAAAATTTTCGTTCTTATCAGATTGATAATCGCTTGTCTAATCTGATCTATTTTAGCTTCGGGGCTTTGCCGTATTCGGCGTAGTGGGCGGGCCCTTTTTGTGACACGAGACCAAAGAAGCAAGCGAGAAAAGGGGAAGAATATATTATCTGATGGTGATGTTGATGATGGTAGGATGCGAGCTAGTTGTTGGCATTGAGGGAGGTTTTCATCTTATACTCTATACAACTTGGAGGCGGTAATCTCGGCGGTGGTACAATGATGACGTTCAAGATTAGCTAAGCTTGGATAATGTTGCAGTATGCCATTTTGACAGGTGACAGGTTACCTATCGAGGTTGCAAACCTCATCTGCAGCCAACTGGAATGCACTTCTGCCCCACAGCGACGAGAGGAAGTCCTACCCGGCGATATTCTCCGCTAGCAGTACTCCGTACACTGCAGAGTGCCTAACCGTTTGTCTCTTCGCATATACATAGCACAAACACTGCAATATCATCATGCCATGCGGAAGTTGAACCCGCCCGTGCACCGAGTGTGGATGCCTTCCGCCGCGCTGGGTCGAGCAAATTCCGGTATTGCCCGACCCGCCCATCGTGACCTTTCTTTCTTTTTACTCTTCTCCACTGTACATTACTTACGTACGACTGACTCCCTCGCACACGCGAAAGTAAGGCAAGACGAACAACCACTTATATGGATTGTGATGAGTGTAAACAGGCTAGCGCTTACCAGGAACACACCCCGATTCGACCGTCAACAAAAGAAAAAACCCGAAGCTGAAACCTGGCATTCTATAACCAGTAGAAGATACAATAGTTTGCGCAGCTGAGAGTAAGTGGAGAGGTATATATAGATTGGCGACAGTTCCAAAGATAAAGGGGAAGAAAATCGTGGTTTGGGTCGATCTGAAGATTCCTACTCACCGGGCGTCAAAAGGCCATAGCCTGTCAGCCTTGTCCATCGTCATCCCCTCTCCTTCTCCTGCAGCCTTCGCTGTCTCCATCCACTCCGCATACGCAGCCCTGTTAGCCTCCTGCGCGGCATCCCATATCTCGATAGGCACCCACCCATCCGACCCAGCATGTAGCGATTGCTTAAGCCACGTCTTCAGC